CCCTTCCCAAAATTACTTCAACGGAAGGTTTCCAGATGGATATGCGGAGCAAATCCATCTGGAGGAGTCGGGTTAACAAGCAGCTATCAGGATGACCTGCAGTTTGCTTATTGTCTCGGTGCCACCGCTCCCCTGCTTCAACAAACCCACTGTCATTTAGACAGAGAGCACTGTAAGGATCGTGTTCTTGAGAACATTTAACACAATTCAGCCTGACTTACTTTGTGAGAAATTTCAGGAGGCTCAGATGGAGGCATCGCCTGGATCAAAGACTACCTGACAAACAGACCTCATTTTATTAGACTGAAGGGTCAGACGTCTAATCAAGTAGTCAGCAGCACAGGAGCGCCACAGGGGACGGTACTCTCACAATTCCTTTTTACTCTGTAGACCTCAAACTTCCAGTACCATTCCTCAAAAATGATCAGATGACTCTGCAGCTTTTGGTTGCATCAAAGATGGACAAGAAGCTGAGTACTGAGAGCTGGTGAGCCGCTTTGTGGCATGATGTGGAAACCATCATCTGATCCTGAATAACAGCAAATCAGATGATTGTGTTTCAGAAGAAACAGGAACAAGTTGAAACCTATTAACATCATGGGAGAGGAAGTGGAGGAGTTTGAGGGAGTATAAATACCTTGGTGTTCACCTGGACAACAAACTGGACTGGAGAAACATCTGGGACGCCGTTTACAAGAAGGGACAGAGGAGGGAGGGACTTTCTAAGGAAGTTTAGGTCTGCATATCTTCCATAAGTCTGATACAGAAGAGATCAGACTCTCCACAACAGAGTAAATGCCTTAAAAATAAGCTAAACAAGCTAATAAAGAAGGCCGGCTATGTTCCAGGAACTCCTCTAGAACCTCTGGAGCTCAAGATTTAACCAAAAATTAAAATTGCGATTATTTTCGACCAATTTCATGATTCAATTTTTATTGAGTTTTACTTTTGCACTAACCGCGAGCATGTAAACGTTTTACTCCAGACTTTCATTTTTTTCATAACAATTTTAAAGCTTACATGTTCAGTCAGTTTAAAAAAATATAGTGTCTCCTTTTTTTAAATGCATTGTGACTAAAATTTAGAGCCTCTACGAGAAATTGCGTTTTGATAAATCGTGGTTATGTTGCAAATGTGATTACTTGCCTTGATGAATTTTTCATCAAGTGAAGGGCATAATAACAGTGAGCATGATCAGACTGTTAAACAAAGCCTTTAGTCAAAGGAACAGAGGATCTTTCCTCGCCACGACAATCTACAGCAACTATGACTCGTTCTCCTCAGTTACAAAATTGTTTAGTATTTTACTTTGGGATCAATAGTGTTTGTTTTCTGCATTTCATGTATTTAAATGAGAAACAGAAATCTATTAACCGATTCAAACTGTTCCTACCTTTTTCTTCATGTGATAAATTGGAAGGTGTGACCATTTTAAAATTGCTGCTGTGTTCTTCCATTCAGCAGAGACTCTGCCGCATGAGGAGAACGGCCTGATCAAAGAGCAGCGATACATGAACTCCGCCTCCAACTCCATGACCCCTCGGCCCCAAACGGCACGGAGCGTCTCCGAGTACCATCCCCAGGACCGCAGCCTCTACCATCACAGCAGCAGCTCAGCCATTCGGCGCCAAGCGTCCAACCCCGCAGATCTTCGCGCCACACAGTCTCTAAGACGAGTCGAAGGTACGGGAAAAGGCCGTAGTTAGCATTTTACACTAATATAAAACGGAAAGAAAAGGTTAATTTGGTCCGTGTGCTTTGGCAGCAGCTAGCTCCACCACCGGTCCTGAATCTCTGGGCTCTGATCGAGAGAATCTGCAGCTACCCAATAAAAACCCTTCCTCCTGGTCCATTGAAGAGGTGATGCAGTTCGTCAGGGATGCAGACCCCACAGCGTTAGCGCCTCACGCAGAACTATTCAGAAAACATGTAAGTTACCAGAAAGACTCCCAGTTCCGTCTGTGTGAGGCTTGTTTTCTTCAGCTCTCCCTCTCTGTTCCCATAGGAGATCGACGGGAAGGCGTTGATGCTTCTACGGAGCGACATGATAATGAAGTACATGGGTCTGAAGCTGGGGCCGGCTCTGAAGCTCTGCCATCACATAGAGCGGCTGAAACAAGGCAAACTGTGAGAGGAGGCAAAGCCCTCTCTGACCTGTGAGCAATAAGCCCAGAAAGACTCCTGGGCCACGCAGGGGTTACATGTTACACTAGACTCCTTCTGGAGGGACAACTTCCACGTTACGACTTCATCCCGACTGCCGGAGCTGGAAAAATGTGCTGCGCATAGCTGACGCGTTACCTCATCCTCTCATCGGTGAACAAACGGCTGTCCAAGTCTTACAAACTACGATGACTTCCAAGAAATCCCAAAGCAGAGTGATCCCTGTAGTGTTTACATCGCATCACACACGTGCACACGATTACACGTTGTTATTTTTTTTATATACGGAGATGACATGTTTTGATCCCCAAAGATGGAGAATGTTTTTATTACTTTTGAATTTCTACCTAACAAGAAAGGATTCGTATATACTGAGAAAAAAAAGCTTTTCATACTTCAGCAGAGAATCTACTGCTCTCATCTTTGATTTTGTACTTTTCATTTCCCACTTATCTGCCTGAACGTAGAGCTGACTGAAGGATAAGGCTGTCTAGACGGATTCATCCACAGACTGTCGGTGTCATTGCCAGGAATCGTGTTATCTATTTTTTTTTTTAACAGAACTTGACTGTTTTCATGATTGTCCTCAAGAATCATTAAGTGTGTTTAAAAAAAAAAAGTGTCTTTACAGGTTTGAAGTCTCCTCCTGTGGGTACAGATGCTCCCATCAGAATTCAGTGGCTGGTTTCTGACTGAACAGGCTTTCTGTAATGCTAAGTTCACACCACACGCGATTGAAGCAGCAGAAGCAGCGGCTTTACTTGCAAAGTCAATGGTTGATGCGCATCAGAAGGTCCTGCAGCGCGTCATGAGCTTCTGAGCATCTGACGAGCTTCACAAACAGCATCTGCTGCAGTTGGAAAAATAGAATTTTTCCTACTCTATGCGTCACATCAACCAATCAGAGAAGCTGATCTGAGTCTGCAGGGAGACGGACAGCACTGCTGATGCAGATCACTATGATTACTCCCCTGAAACAGCTTATTAATGCCTAAATTAACCTAAAATTTTGAAACCTCCCTGCAAAACATTCGCTTTTATTATCCTAGTGCCTGCACTTTGTTCCACGTACATGAAAACTGCCAACATCTACTTCAAGCCGCCAAGAACAGGCAACCCAGCCTAAGGCAGCTGCTGCTGGGGATCCCCAGTGACAGCGGTATGTGGAAGCCTGCGCATCTCCGACAGCAAAATAATATTTTAAGGCAGGATCGTAATCTCAAACTGAATGCAGAGACGATGCTTTTAGGTGGACTTTCTCACTTAAAAACTACTTTTTCCCACTTATTACATCAAATATAGCAGTGTCTGTATACATTTGACTGGAGGCTCTTCAGGAGCATCAAAGATGCTCTTTAAATAAGATGGGGACAAGCATAAAAAATGAATCAGCAGGCGCTTTTTTGCTGCTGAAATCGCGTCTGGTGTGAAAGTATCATAAGAGGGATGCGACTCCTGCCTGGACCTTCTGATCTCTCAGGATGGATGGCGGTGTAATAACACCGTTCAGAAATGTTATTTTCAGCAAACCCTGCCATGAGGCGTTCTAAATGATTTATATGTGGAGCAGAGGTGATGTCACACCATGTTTGTTAAGCAATCGGCGTTACATCATACTTTTTCAAAAACAATGCCAAAAATCCGGATGGAGTTGGCATTTTACACTGGCTTTAGCATCTTAGATTAGCGCTTAGCTCAGAAAGCATAATTTTAACGTTGGTCTCTGTTTATATTCTCAAAAGGAGGAAGATCTTTATCTTAATGCTGATATTTCTAAACTGCCAGCCAGTAGATTACATCACAGAGAGGCTGAAAAGTAAAAGGTTGGTTTAACCTTGGTGCCAAAAGCTAAAGAAAACAAAAAGGGCCCCTATAGTCTGCTACACAGTCTGAATTAGGTGTTTAAAAGGGAACGGTATTGTGTCAGCTAAGTTTTTGCAGTAGAAGAACAAACCTCATTTTTTAATTCTTAGATTATTATTTTTGTTTGTTTTTCCAGATAATTTGGGGCAGCTCAGCTCTGTTTGCTGTTAAGCAACTCGTCCACGTTGATGGGTTTTAAAGGGATCCACGGCAAGTTTAACATGTTGCCCTAAATATGTCGTCATTTTCCTGTTAATTTAAAAAACCTGCTATTTGTGCTATGTAAAAACTGAATTATTTCAAAATTATATATACTTTATGTACTTCAACCATGGAGGTCACATTGTTTTCCGCTGTGCAATGCATGCTGGGATGATGAAGCAGTAAACACTGTGTCTATTTGTCAATGATTTCATAGCCGTTCCCAATTACAGAAGAGGATTAGGGCCAGTGGGAAAAAAAAAAAAGTTAACTGATTTTTTAAATTTTATTTCAGTTTAGTATGGGGAAAAAAGTCAGAATTCTGACTTTTTTTCCCATGTTAAACTGAAATAAAATTTAAAAATCAGTTAACTTTTTTTTTTTTTTCAGTGGCCCTAATCCTCTTCCGTACCCCATACATGAGATATATGTTGAAACAAACAAATGGGATCTACTGTTTACTATATTAGCTAAAGCTAACACCATTAGCAGATGCTAATGTGAAATCAAAATCAAATAGGAAGATAAACATTTAAAGTGACGGTGAAGCATCGCTAAGTTGTAACGTTGTAAAGTTGTTCTAATACCTGAGAAAATGTTTTTATCTGCTAACAGTAAACCGCCTCCGTTAGAAACTGGAGCTCTTTGTAGCATAGCTTGCCGTCGGGGTTAGCATCTGTTAGCAGCAGAAGCACAAACACTCTCTTCCTCCGTTTGGTCTTCCTTTTATTGCCTCTTTATTTCTACATTCTCATTCATTTTAATATAAGTTTCACGTCACCATTTTGGCTAGACGAAGCTAGTGCTAAATTATGTGGTATACCTCATTTGCTCAGAATGTGACCTCTGTGACAATATTTTAATTTATCAAAAATAATCAGTTGATCGTATTTTTATAGTATATTTATCTCAAATATTTTTCAAATAAAGCCTATTTTAACTAATCGTGGATCCCTTTAAGGTCCTTATACCTTCAAACATCCTTAAATCGTTACCTGAGAAAGTCTTGCTCTCTCTCGCTCAACAGCAGCCAGTTTAGCTTAAAATAGCCACTTATTTTCTCGTGTTTTGCTTTTAAATTGATTTGAAACACTCGACTATCTGATTGTTGTGATATTTTTATTGGACACCTTGTCAACTTTTAATGATTGGGAAGAAAAAATACTAAAAACCACCAAATATTCCTGGTCATGCTGACTTCTCTGAGCATCTCTGCCTTCAGCATCTCACTGTTTTAAGTCTGTTTGATTTTAATGTGCAGAATGTTTTCAGAAAGATTTCTAAGGGCTTCTTACGTTAAGTTTGGCTCTTTATTTTATTTTTATCAGCCATGTATCATGTAAGCTTGTTGGTCTGCCTGAAACCGTGTTTTTTTACAGTCGACCATAACAATCACTGTTAGCTATGTATACTGATCTGTACAGTTTTATGGGTTTAACCATGAATATCGGCAACAGAATGTACATTTTGTAGAAACCTAATATTTTAAGGAAATCATATGCATAAGGTAGAAATGTGAAGCTAAACAAAGGGGGGAAGGGGTGAGTATTTAACATTGGTTTCCAGTCTTTTTTTTTGTTTTTGTTAATACATAAAGCAGTGCTTTTAGTTCACTTTCTTCCAGTTCTAGATCCTGCCTTCCTTTATCCTTGACATTTCTCAGGTTTATGTGGTCTTTTAGTAGAAGCTTTTGTAGCATATTTATAATATACGTATAAAAAAAGAAAAAAAAAAGTTTCCCCCCCTGTTACTCGTACTCCCTTCCCCCACCTTAAGACTTGTGCCATATTATATTAATCACAGGATGGAAATGCTGCCCCCGTTCTCCCTCCGATCTTCTTTGAAGTACTTGAAAACAACATATTTTGCAAAACTTCACTCGTCTTTTATGTCACACAGATAAAGGATCTGTTTACGATGTGTATTTTCTTTCTCTTTTCCATAAAGATACAACAAAGTAAGAAATACCTCTGTTTTCTGTCTGATTTATATATTCAGAAAAGTGAAATTATTAGATAATTGACTTAAAAAGATTTTGATGTTTTGAATCTACTTGAATTTTCTTCTAAAAACATCCAGACCCTTATACTTGGGTAAATACTGCTTAGGAAGCTGCTCATCTGCTGTTGATGAGTGATGCCTGGGAGTTTCAGATCCAGTGTCCTAACTCTAGACAGGATTATTGTCCTGCTGTAATCCTGGATTATGTCTGCATTTTAGCTTTGAAAGTGCTAATTGGATTCATTTCATGAGATGAAGTTGTAAAATATTTAGTATTTTATTTCCATTACATTATTCAAGTCCATCTTTTACTCCAGAGATCTTCCTGCTTTTCACAACCTCTAAATAACACTTCATTAAATAACTATGATACAGATTTTGACAGAAACTGTAATCTTACTCAGATTCCAGAAATGCTTCAGGTTACAGAAGGC